TCCCAAGAAAGCTAGATGTAGTGGCAGGCACCTGTCAGCCCAGCTATGCAGGAAGCATAAATATGAGGAATTCAGTTCAGGCCAGCCCAAGCCAAAAAAAAGAGAGAGAGAGAGAGAGAGAGAGAGAGAGAGAGAGAGACTGTTAAGCCACCTCGTTTGTAAAAATGAAATAAAATAACTAAAGCATACAAGGCACCAGTGGCTCGTGCCAGTAATACTATTCAGGAGGCTGAGTCTGAGGATCATGGTTTGAAGCCAGCCTGGACAGCAAAGTCTGTGAGACTCTTATCTCTGCTAAATTACCAAAAAAAAAAAAAAAAAAGCTGAAAGTGGGGCTGTGACTCAAGTAGTAGAGTGCTAGCCCTGGGAGGGCTGGGGGGGGGCGGGGAAGGGGACTGACTCAAGGAGGGCTGGGAATGTGGCTTAGTAATAGAGTGCTTGCCTAGCATGCATGAAGTCCTGGGTTCAATTCCTCAGTACCACATAAATAGAAAAAGCTGGAAGTGGCACTATGGCTCAAATGATAGAGTGAGCAAAAGAAGCTCAGGGACAGTGCTCAGGCCCCTGAGTTTCAGCTCCAGGACTGGCAAAAAAAAAAAAAAAAAGCTCAAGGACAAGCCCAGGACCTGAGTTCAAGCCCCAGGACCAGTCCAAAACAAAACAGAAACTGAAACAAAATCAAAAGCAGCTACAGCTGAAGGCAACGCTTGTGATTCAAGTGGTACAGCACCTAATAAGCACATGGCCTAGAGTTCAAACCCCAGTTTTACCCCCTAAAAATGTAACATCCTGAAAACAAACCCCCAAGAAAACATAAAGCAGATTGGTTTTCGTAATTTTTAGCTCAGAGTGGTAAAGCGGATCCCACATGGGCCAGCTGGGGAGAGCTCCTCACAGGGGACAGCGCTGGGCCATGTCACTGGCTGTCCCAGGCCAATTTAACCACTTGGGGCCCCTCTCTGAGCCTCTCTGTCTATGCACTGGGCATCTCTCCCTTGGCTGACAGCTAAGTGTGAGAGCTTAGGGACAGTTGTTTTGAGCTCTGAGTGCAAAGTCCCACCCCTCAGTGGGAAGGACAAGATGGATGGGTGCAAGGGGAATAGAAATCAAACACAAAAGCAGGCTCATCCCACGCTTGGCCCTAAATGCATTGTAAGACAACATGTCAAGGTCACCTTATTGAGGAAACAACCCAAATGTTTTTAAGTCTATAAAAGTCAGAATCCAACTCTTCACCAAATCTAAACATGCAGCCTAGTTAGAACACACACAAACAAAAAGCACTTAATGTAGCCTCCAAAGAGAACAAGGGAGTGAGGCTTGCCACATCACTTTTCCAGCTCAGGGGAGGCCCACGTGGCTCTCCCCGGGGAGAAACACAGCACACACATCCAGAGGGAACTTTCCTTCCCACTCCCCACTTATCTGGATGGAGGGCAAGCATCTTCTTAGGGTAGCCTGGGGTGACACACAAGGAATGCCCAAAGCTACAAAGGGGGCAAACAGGCCAGGTTGTGTCCAGATCCCCCAACTTCTCGGGGATGAAGTGTGACACCTATCAGTCCACAGAGCATGGACACACATCCCGGGAGCCAGCCTGCAGCGCTGGCCACCTCTGAACAGCCACCCCAGCATACCGAAGGTGGTACATTCCGTCACCCGCCAGCTTGACTCGCCCCCTTGACTGAATGTGGTTGGATCTTGCCCCGAAGGTGGTCTGCTGGTTGTGAATGAGGCTGTGTCTTGTAGGATGCCCACAGTAAGCATATGGCTCACAGTACCCCACAAATGCCAGCTCGTGTGTTCTGGACCCTAGAGTGGGGGAAGGGTGGTTTTACCACCTAGTTCCACCACATCCTGCCTTGCAAACTTGGTTAAGTCACGTGGCCTTTCTCATCAGTCCACTTGCTCATGCAGGGAGCTGGCCCTCTCACAGGACCATGGTAGACTGAATGAGATTGAAAAGACAGTAGATTTATAATACGTTTGCTAGTAATTATTATTATTGCTGTTATTTTACTCTCATCATTATTACTTCAATATGAAACTCACTCTACTTGGGCATTTTTCTTGAATAGGGGTGTGTGTGTGTGTGTGTGTGTGTGTGTGTATGGGTGTGTGTGTGTGTGTGTGTATGGGTGTGTGTGTGTGTGTATGGGTGTGTGTGTGTAGGGGTGTGTGTGTGTGTGTATGGGTGTGTGTGTGTGTAGGGGT